GCCACCAACCGGGACTAAAGGTCTTTCTAGTCCTAGGCGTAATATTTCTCGGGACTAGAGCCTGATTTGGTCCTTTGATCAAAGGTCTGTTCTCTACTAATGATCCTAGCCGTCCATGGACAATTTTTCAGGTTTAGGTCCAACCCATGTCTCGAGACTTTTTTTTCTCCATAGCAGTTGTATCATTTTTTTCTAGAACACGCAGGAAAACTTCACATCAATATATTAAGATAGAACGAACAATCCGATTACAAGCCGACTCTATGGCATGGGTAGTTTTTTAACACGTACGCTCCCTTTGAGGATGTAAATACACATCCACTAACTAACCCAAAACCTCTCCTAGAGCCCTAGCTCCGGCCATCACCCAAAGCATTGCTTGCCCAGCAATCTCCTGTAGCACCATCCGGGCATCTGCGTTACATCCCTCAAATACGCAGCGGTTCTGATGCTTCCAGATTGTCCAAGCGGTTAAGATCACCAGTGAGTTGACACCCTTATGCTTGCATTTTGGGGCGCGCCGTGATGTTCGTCGCCACCACTTCAGGAACACATCAGAGTTAGGCCCTGGGGCTAGGTTCTACAGACCCACTCTATCCAGCGCCGAACTCCAGACTTTTCGGGCAAAGACACATGATGTAAGCAAGTGTTGGATGGTCTCCTCGTCCTGGTAGCACAACAAGCACTTGGGTGGATGCTGCAGCCCCGACATGCGAGGCGGTACGTCCAGCGTCCAGCATCTGTTGTGTGAGGCGAGCCACAGGAACATCTTGCACTTCAGCGGAGCCCACGACTTCCACACCCTCCACGGTTCAAACACAGTGCTGCCAACAAAGAAACGTTGGTAGGCCGAGCACGACATGTCAACTCCAGAGGGATCTGGCTACCAATTATGCTAGTCTAGTTGCTTAGCTCCGAGCTAGACCTTTCGATGGCGTCCTGTAGCCGTAGGTAGTCGACAATTGCGGGCACTGAAATGCCACCTCCAATATTATGGATCCAGTGCCTACCTTACAAGGCCTCGATCACTATTCGTTGTGAGCATGCTCTCTTGCTGCTAACTGGGAATAGAGCCGGCGCAAGGTCCTGTATGGATTTTCCATGCAACCACCGGTTAGTCAAGAACTTCGCCATCTTGGCATTGCCCACCATGGATATGACCAAGACCGAAATATGGCCACGATATATTTGCATGCTCCACGAAGTTGAATGTAGCGCAAGGCCGAAAAAGATCCAGTCTTATGCAACCATAGCCATCTCATCCGCAGGGACCACCCAAGGACCTCGAGATTGTGAATTCACTACAGGAAACAGTGACTTTACCATGTGTCACAGATACTCGGCAAAGACAAAAAAAACACTCGGCAAACAGCACACGACATCTACAGTGTTGGCAAACGTCTCTTTGCCGAGTGTTTTGTATCGGGCACTCGACAAATACTTTGTCAAGAGTTGAAACCAACGCTCGGCGAAAAAAATAACGCGACGGCGCGGAGACAGTCACGGCGCGTTTGCCGAGTGTCCCGGACCTGACACTCGGCAAACTTGAATTCTTTGCCGAGTGTCCAATATCTGACACTAGGCAAACATGCCTTCTTTGCCGAGTGTCAAATCCCGGGCACTCGGCAAACCTGCCATCTTTGCCGAGTGTCAAATCCCGGACACTCGGCAAACCTGTCATCTTTACCGAGTGTCAAATATAGGACACTCAGCACTGACACTCAGCAAAGACTGACCCAGAACATGAATACCATTTTTCTACTCATTTTATTCTATTATTTCAATCACTTGCGGTTCAAATTTGACTTATACCAAAAAAATTCTTGAAAAGCAATAAATTAATTAAATATAACAAACTGATCCAGAAATATACCAAATCTTAACATGGAGTACCACATGTTGTATGTGGACAATAGAAAAAGTTTCAAGGTCAGAAGAGAAAAAAAACTTATTATTTCATACCGTTATAGCTCAAATTCAATGTATATCAATTAAAATTCTATAATTGCACTTAATAAATTAAAATTATCAAACGGATCCAAAAAATTACCAAAATTACACATGAATCAATCTATGTTCTCTATTGCCTATACAAAAAGTTTTGAAGTCAAACCCCAATTCGACCGTCACTTTAACTCCAAATCTTACCAAATCCTTCTCAACGCTACGATTCTTCTTCTGAGATACTTCGGTTTGTAAACATGGTACGCGACAGATTGTGCGAAACCTTCTCAATTTTTTACCACGGCCTTCACGTATGATATCACGAGATCGTGACAAATCTCATGATTTTTAGTCTTCGTTTGCTTTTTTTAGAATTTAAAAATCATTCGGCCACACGTTCGTGGTCGTGTTTTCTAAACAAGATGTTCGAAATTTCTTTTCATTTTCTGGGTAAGGCCTCACACTGGACTCAATAACATGAATATCATTTTTCTACTCATTTTATTATATTATTTGAATCACTTGACGTTCAAATTTGACTTATACCAAAAAATTTCTTGAAATGCAATAAATTAATTAAATATAGCAAATAGATCCAGAAATATACCAAATCTAACATGAAGTACCACATGTTGTATGTGGACAGTAGAAAAAGTTTCAAGGTCAGAAGAGAAAAAAAAACTTATTTATTTATCGAGTGCAAAAAAAAACACTCGGCAAAATTATTTCTTTGTTGAGTGCTAAGGAAAAACACTCGACAAACTTATTTCTTTGCCGAGTGCCACTGACGGACACTCAACAAACTCCTAACGGCCGGCACACTCCCTAACGGATGTTTACGTGGCGGTTTTTTGCCGAGTGTCTCTGTTTTGCCGAGTGTTTTTTTCTAATTTGTCGAGTGGTGTTTTTTCAGCACTCGGCAAAGATATTGGTATGCCGAGTGCCGTTATTTTGCCGAGTGTTTGGTTTCTGAAGCACTCGACAAACAACTTTTTTGCCGAGTGTCCGATAAAACGCACTCGGCAAACCTTTTGACACTCGGCAAATCTGTTGTTTTTCCAACCCGCCAAGTTCGATTGGGTGAATAGCACATTCCCAGCCAACGAGGCAATGGCCCCCATTGATCTGCTGATGCCCTTTCCAGAGAAAGGCCCTCTGGTGCTTGTCGATCGCACGTATTAGCCACTTGGGCACATTCAGCGCGACCAACATGTAGATGGGGACTGCTGTCAAGATGACACGCACCAGGATTGATCTTCCTGCCATGGTCATCAGTGCCACCACCCAGCCAGGTAGAAAATCCACAATGCTATCAACGATGGGCTGAGGATCGGATTTGGATAGCTTTCGGATTGAGAGGGGAACTCCCAAGTACTTGCAAGGGAATTTGGACACCTCACAGGGCATCTCCGCATTTATGAGTTGAAGCTCTTCTTCCTCCTGGCGGCAGATTGGAATAACTACACTCTTCTGCATGTTGGTTCCCCCAAACAGACGCAACAGGTGTTGTACTGTGGAGATGTCCTCCATTGTCGTCTAGATGAAAAGTACAACATCATCCGCATAGAGCGACACGCGGGGCTTACTCCGAGCAGCCAGCAGTTGAACTAGTTCCTCGCTGTCCACCTTGGCCGTACGTGCATCGCTAGGATAAGAGCAATAGGATGCGCAGGGCTCCCTGACGCAACCCCGGCGATGGGAAATCCATTCCCCTGGCTGCCCATTCAGCATCACCCATGTGGACTATGTACGCAGCGAGCAGTAGATGATGCTACGCCATCGTCCCCCGAAACCGAGGTGGGACATCTCCCCATAGTATTTTGCCTTAAAAAAAACTAGGTGGAAAAATGAGAAGGGACATCTCCGGAGCTCTTCTCTGTTTAAAATGAAATATAGCACCAAATTGGTTGAGAAATTACAATATTTCAGTAGAAGAGATAACAGATGCCAACACACTACAAAATGACTAAACGTCGCTTAATCTTTGTCCCACCTAAAAACTAAACACCTATCATTGGTGCCATTAGACATACTAATCAGTGGCGGAGCTCATCAATTTTGACGCCTAGGGCCACTATCATTGACAAGCTCCGTCACTAACTATCATATATATATATATATATATATATATATATATATATATATATATATATATACCATCCGCACCGGAATTAATACCGATAAATAACAAAACAAAGCTCGTAGATGCATAAGTTTAGATGATATCTCGATTTGATTTTTAAATCCATGATATAATTGATGGAATATGATAGTGGTTAAAAAATACCTAGCTAATTATGGTCCTTGATGTTTGCAAAGACTTTAAAAAATATCCCGAGATTTTAATTCTTGAAAATGATATGAAATGTCATCATCCTTGTTTGAAAAGACATCTCGCTCAATATAACAAACCATCCTATGATTTAACCATTCACCTCCCATCTTATTCCTCAACTCATTCTTCACAAATTTCATAACTGAGAAGTAATTGGCGTAGGACCCGGAGTAAAAAAAAGATTTTATTGTCCTGCTCCTCTTCATTGAGTACTATAAAAATTGGAAGAGTTCAACTTTAATTTAGAAATCAGACCCTTAGAAGTGAGAATGGATAAATGGGGAAAGAGAAACTGATATTTCCAGGAGGCAGGAGCTGGGTGGCAGACCAGCAGTCACGGAGCAGAGGCTGAAGTAGTGCTGCCGCCCGCCACAGCGTGCTGCGTGCAGGCCGCAGGGCGCGGGTAGCCGGGCGACGGGCGCGGCGCAGTGCGCTGGCCGGCGGAGAAGCGGAGCGGTGGAGAAGCGGAGTCGCCTGGGGTTGGCTGTGACATGGCGACAACGAGAAGAAGCAGGAGAGGCGGAGAGGGAGTCGCGAACTCACGATTGGGAGGCTGGCCGCTGGCGCTGCCTCCTTGGCTCCTTCCCCTCTCTCTGCTGGGTCAGGAGTCCACCAAATTTGGCCCAACATCTAGGGCCAGGCCGAAAAACTACTAGTGCTCTAAAGATTTTTTTGGACTGTGCCTAGGGCCGTGGCCCAAGGCCCATATCCGCCCCTGATACTAATGAAACCTTTCAAAAGGATCAATTGACAGATCATGTACTAGCTCAACACGCAGAAGATCAAGTGACCCAATCAATATTTTACGTGACACAAAAGTGATCCGTGCCACCTTCGAAGCTCTCTTTTTGATATCGAGAAGTCTACGTTGTCTTACAACCCATGCTTTGCTAAAGTTCTCAACTTCTAACTCAAGCCTCATTGACTCCAATACTCTTGCATTTGATACAAAGAACTTGACAAAGTCAATATGTGTCTTGCTTCCTTGATAGTTTGCCAGCACAATTTTCCTCAAATGGATGGCCTGGGTGCCAATAACTTTTTGGCATTTATGAAAACACACATTGTCTACAGAAACACGTGCTACCTGAAAAAGCAAAGTGAACATATAAATGGTGTCAGTGGTTAACCTAGCTTTGGAACAATCATGTCATCTATGTAATAATAAGTGACCAAAAATGCAGATGCACACTCTGGTATATATAGGGAGTCACCTTGATGTACAACTTCTCCAAGCGGGGAAAGCATTTCACTGTGTTAATAACCGCATCCAAGGAAAGTACGAACTCGCATAAAGCTAGAACCTTCAAACTGTGTACCACTACCACATTCATCGTGCTAATAGGAGTTGATCCCTGAATTAAGGGTAGAATTAACACATCATGATCAAGCAAAGGGACATGGATCCCTGATGAAGGCTTGTGAAAGTGAGAATTAATGATGCCAATACCTGATAAATTGTAGACTCAAACCGAAACCCGGGATAGGGAGTTCTGTGAAAGACTTTTCCCAAAATACCCAATCTTGGCGCAGAGATTAGCGAGATGTTAATACCCGTTCCTTTGAAAATAAGTAATCTTTCCAAACATGGTGTGTCGTTGATGACGAGGCGTAACCAGCAAGTATGCACACCACGCTTCTGAGGCTAGGGGACACGATTTGCAGCCGAGAGAAGCCATGGTTGTTATATAGCAACAAGCTCTGCAGGACAGTGCAGCCGGCGAGTAAGGCGTGCAGAGACCTTTCTGAAATGTTGACATTGAAAAGTGTCATCTGCTTGAGAACCGGCAAGCGGAGCGCACTGCCATCGTTTCCATCTGGCATAATGCAGAAACCGAAGCTAGCTGTGTGAAGGGAGGACGAGAAGCGGTATACTGATGCCGGCAGCGGCGCCTGTGGAATCGGCTGAGACGACCAGCATTGTAGTCCGTAGTTCAAGTCGAACTCGAGCTCCTGGAGGTTCTCTAGTGCTGGGGACCGAAGCCAGCCGTCCAGGTCGGCAGCGTGGCTGGCGTCCCAGAAGCATGGTTTCCTTTATCGGCCGAAATCTCTTGATATTTCCAATATATCTTTTTTATCCGTAGTTGCCGATAAGAAAATATCTATCTTTTTTATACAAATTTTGTTTAAATTTACTTAAATTCAAATCAAATTTTATTTGAATTTGGTCCGATATTTCCGATATATCATGTTTATCCTCTTTATCTGTGACCCCCGATAAAATTTAATTTCCGAAAATGAAAACCTTGCCCAGAAGTAGCCCTTAGGGATTGAGAAGCGGCGTCCGGGCCCCGGGTCACCCTGGGCATTCGGTCAGACCGAACCGATCGGTTCGATTCCTCGGTCATTCGGTCAGTTCGGTCATCAGAAACCTGGGACCGATCGGTCTTTGCAAAAAACGAAGACCGAGGAAGTTCGGTCTCGGTTAGTTCGGTTCGGTCTCGGTCACGACCGAACTAACCGGACCTGAGTAGCAGCCACAAACAATAGCAGAATCTATATCAATTTTCAACAGCATGCTTGCTATTTGAAGGCAAAAAAATAACAACACAATATATAAAACAAACCACACATTATTATGACAAGTTCTAGCACATAACTTTCTCAGTTCTCACAAATCACAATCACATAATAACATTACGAACGAAGTCTATAGAACTACGGTCAGTTCGGTCACTTCGGTTAACCGACACATATGACCGAACTTCTATCGGTTACTTCGGTTAGTTGGGAGCCAGGACCGAACTCATGACCGAACTTTTCGGTCTCGGTCTTTTCGGTCTCGGCCTTTTCGGTTCGGTCTTCGGTCTTCGGTTAATTATGCCCAGAGTTAGCCCCGGGTGCGTGGAGAGCACGTGTGTGATATCGTCGCCATTGTCGATACGGATGCGCCATCCAACTACTGGATCATTGAGGTCGACGTTGAGTGGAGCGGAGCGCCAGATGTGGCGCCAGCGGGAGGAGAGGACCTGCGTGCGGGCGCCGGATTTGGTGGGGAGAAGGGACACGATGTCGCCGAGGACGTCATCCGGGAGGCTGCTGATACGGTCGACGAGGCCCTCTTCCTCTTCCAGCCTCCTCTTCTTGGCTCTGGTGACCACCCCCATGCCGGGAGAAGGATGGCGGCAGCCGATGGAATGATGGATTGGAGATCGGGAACCGCCTGGATGTCGAGCGGCCAGGTACATAGGGGCGTAGGGCATTCAAGGCTGGGCCCACTGGAATCTGGTATCTCGCAACATCAACAATCTTCAGTTTCAGTCCATTCAGTTTCATCACTCATCAGTAAAAGAAGCCAGGGCTGAATACCAATTCATCAACGAAGGAAAAACGGGAACCGTACTTCCTGCTTGGGTCAAGAAACGTTCAATACTTCCAGTTCTTGCTCTTCTTTTCTTTGTCGGAGCATTCCAGCTCTTCACTGTTGAGTAATTCGCTGTTCCATGTATGAACGCACGGTAGGGACAGGTGCTGAAAGGCTTCTCTACGGCACTGTAGCCACAGCAGGGGCAGACGTCAAAGTCAATCCTGCTGTCACATTTAATCACTGTAGCAACATGGCAGCCTGACATGTCTATGTACTAGGATTAGATGGGTGTAGTTGTATATATAGCTTTCCACTACAATTCAGTAAAGAGAGCGAGTTTAGTTTTGCCATCTCCTCTGTAGAGCTCCGGCCAACGCTGGTGCTTGTGCTGTGTGTGTGGTCGGCAACGCTGGTGAGTGGTCGGCTCACCCGTTGTGAAGATCCAGGAGCCAACAAGTGGTATCGGAGCCGTACAAGCGCCGTCACCGGACTAACCACTGGCGATGACGGATGGTTTGGAGATGGGCGACAGTAGCGGCGCCGTTGTGGCTACCCAACCACGATAGAAGATCGTTGTGCGCACAGTGCGGGAGGTCAGCAGCACCAGTTGACCGACGCTGACTCGCACCAACTATGACGAGTGGGCGGTGACCATGAAGGTCAAGCTCAGAGCTCGACAGCTTTGGAATGCTGTTGACAAGGGCACCGACAACGAAAAAAACGATATGTCAACGTTGGAGGCTATCCTCGCTGTTGTGCCAGCGGAGTACAGGGAGTCATTGGGGCGAAGAACTCTGTTAAGAAGGCGTGGGAGGCCATTGCGGCGATGCGCGTCGGTTCCGACAACGCAAAAAAGGCGATGGCCCAGCTGCTGAAGCAGGAGTATGCCAACCTCAAGTTCAAGGATGGTGAATCGGTGGAGGACTTCTCCCTCCGCCTGTAGATGCTCATCAGCAAGCTAGGGAGCCACGGCGTCACCATCGACGAAGAAGAGGTTGTCTCCAAGTACCTCCACTCCATGCCAATGAAGTACATCCAGATCGCTCTTTTCATAGAGACGATGCTGGACTTGTCCATCCTCACCATTGAGGATATGACAGATCGTCTGCGGGCGGTGGACGAGCGCATGGAACAGGCCACAGCGATGACGACGGACAGCGGCAAGCTGCTGCTGATAGAGGTGTAGTGGGCTGCCCGGAGGAACTCCGGGGAAGCCTCCTCCAGCCACGGTGGCGATGGCAAGCGCCGCGGTAAGACTTCTTTGGAGAAGAAGAAGAAGGTCAATCCCAACGTCTGCCGGTGCTGCGGGAAGACGGACCATTGGGTAAATGAGTGCCCAAATCGCAAGCAGGAAAGAAGGTTAAGGCTCATCTGGTGTAGACTGATGACGATGATGAGGCCACTCTCCGGATGGCGACGTTCGGTCCACTGTACGACGTTGAGGCCAAGGAGAAGAGAGAGGTCATGGCGGTGAAAGGGCCTGGGAAAGCTCTGAAGGCTGTCCACCTCGACGAACCGCGCGCCCAAGTCCACCTCGGACATGTGGGTGGCGGATAAGAGCAGCGGTGGTACCTAGACTCCGGCGCCAGCAACCACATGATGGGCTCCAAGGAAGCCTTCTCCGAGCTCAATGACGACGTGACTGGCACGATGAAGTTTGATGATGGCTCAAGGGTGGCGATCCCAGGGTGCAGCACCATCATCTTCAGGTGCCAGAATAGCGAGCACCGCGCGCTAACAGATGTATATTACATCCCACAGCTGCGGTCAAGCATCATCAGCATTGGCCAGCTGGATGAGCGCGGCAGCGAGGTACTGATCAAGGACGGCGTCCTCAAGATCCATCGGGAGCAGCAGCCTCTTGCCAAGGTGAAGAGGTCCCAGAACCAGCTGTACCTGCTCGACTTGAAGGTGGAGCAGCCAGTGTGCCTGGCAGCACGGCACACCGAGGAGCCATGGCTGTGGCATGCCCGGTTCGGCCATCTCAGCTTTGACGCGCTAGGTCGGCTGGAGAAGATGGTCCGAGGGCTGCCCCACATCAAGCACGGAGGCGAGCTGTGTGACACCTGCCTGGCCAGGAAGCAGAGGAGGCTGCCATTTCCAAAGGCGGCCAAGTATCGCACGGCGGACGCTCTCGAGCTCTTCCATGGCGATCTCTACGGGCCAATCTTGCCAGCCACAAATGGTGGTCGGTCGTACTTCCTCCTGCTCGTGGATGTTTACAGTCGCTATATGTGGCTGCAACTCCTGACGAGTAAGGACAAGGTGGCGGCGGCGATCAAGAAGTTCATGGCGCGCGTGGAGGTGGAGAGCGGCAAGAAGCTGCGCGTGCTGAGGACTGATCGCAGTGGTGAATTCACTTTGGTGGAGTTTGCTGCGTACTGCGCAGATCAGGGTGTGGTGCGACACCACACCGCGCCATACTCACCACAGTAGAATGGCGTGGTGGAGCGGTAGAACCAGACGGTGGTTGGCATGGCTCGATCCATGATGAAGGCCAAGGGCATGCTGGCAAGGTTCTGGAGTGAGGCGGTGACCACAGCGGTATTCATCCTCAACCACGCGCCCACTAAGGCCCTAAAGGGTAAGACGCCATTCGAAGCCTGGTATGGGCGCAAGCTGAGCGTGTCTTTCCTCCGGACATTTGGCCGCGTTGGCCACGTCAGGAAGACGAAGCTGGTCCTCACCTAGCTAGAGGACAGGAGCACACCAATGGTGCTCCTGGGCTACGCGAAAGGTACCAAGGCGTACCGGCTCTATGACCCACGCGGAGGCAAGGTGGTTGTCTTGCGTGACGTCGTGTTCGACGAGAAGGCGGCCTGGGACTGGGACAGTCCGGGCACGGGGAAAGCTGACGGCTTCACTAGCACCTTCGTCGTCGAGCACTTGGTCATCTACGGTGGTGGAGACGTTGGAGAGGAGGTGCCGACCACTCCAGCAATGGAGCTGAGCACTCTTGGGACGGTGCCAAGCACTCCGGGAGGGGAGCTGAGCACTCTAGTTGTGGTGCCGAGCGGTCCTGCAGTTGTGCAGATCACTCCAGGACGGGTGCCGAATGCTCCCGTAGCGGAGCCAAAAAGTCTTGTAGTGGTGCCAACCACTCCAGGAGTGGTGACAGGCAGTCCAGGAGTAGTGTTGAGCACTGCAGCCGGGGTGCCAAGCACTCCAGGTGTTCTGCCGACCATTTTGGCAGAACAAGGAACTCCATCAACGTCGATCGAGTTCGCCTCACCTCCAAGCGACATCACTAAGTTCGTGGATGTCTTCCACGACGGTGAGGAGGTGCAGTTCCACAGGCTGGACGACATCATCGGCGGCATAGGGCCCTCAGGTCTAGCGGGCCGATTGCTCAATGACCTAGAGCTGCTTCTCGTCAGTGCAAAGGAACCACCCACGTTCGTGCTGGTCGAGCGTGATGCAAATTGGCGACGGGCGATGCTGGAGGAGATGAAGTTGATCGAGGAAAATGAGACTTGGGAGCTCGTTGATCCACCTCCAGGATGCCATCCGATCGGCCTAAAGTGGGTGTACAAAGTCAAGCGGGACGTGCGCGGCGCCATTATCAAGCACAAGGCGCGCCTCGTCGCCCAAGGCTTTGTCCAGCGCGAGGGCATCGACTTCAAGAAAGTTTTTGCGCCGGTAGCATGCATGGAGTTTGTCTGCCTGCTTCTGGCTTTGGCAGCAGCAAAGGACTGGTGCGTCCATCATCTAGACATAAAATCGGCCTTCCTCAACGGCGAGCTGGCGGAGACGGTCTTTGTCAGGCAACCTTCGAGTTTTGCTGTCAAGGGAGCAGAGCACAGGGTGCTCTGACTACGCAAGGCCTCTATGGGCTGTGGCAGGCCCCGCGAGCGTGGAACGCCAAGCTTGACGCCACGCTGGGCGAGCTCGAAAACACGGTGCGCAACTGAGCACGCACTCTACATGCGGCGATGGGGGAAGGAGGAGCTCATCGCGGCGTGTATGTGGACGATTTGATCATCACCGACGCGCGTGCGGAGGACATCGACAGCTTCAAGCATGAGATGGCGGCTCGTTTTCGAATGAGCGATCTCAATATGCTCTCCTACTACCTCGGCATCGAGGTGAAACAGGGGAAGGAGGCGCTCACGCTTGGTCAGAGCGCGTACGCCTCAAAGCTGTTGGAGCGGAGCGGCATGGCTGAGTGCAAACCGTGCGTGACTCCAATGGAGGAGCGGCTGAAGCTGACGAAGGCTAGTACCACGGCGAAGGTAGATGCAACACTCTACCGGAGCATCATCAGTGGTCTGCGCTACCTAGTCCACACGATGCCGGACATTGCTTTCGTCGTGTGCTACGTCAGCTGCTTCATGGAGGATCCCCGAGAGGATCACTGGGCTACAGTGAAGCGGCTGCTGCGCTACGTCAAGGGGACGGTGGATCATGGGATCGTCTTCCCCAAGACCGGCGGAAGTGGTCTGCAACTCACTGTGTTCAACGATGCAGACATGGTGGGGGACATCGACGGACGGCGGAGCACCTCTAGCGTGCTCGTCTTCCTCGGGTCGGCTTCAATCTCATGGCTGTCGCTGAAACAGAAGGTGGTGGCGCTGTCCACGTGCGAGGCAGAGTACGTGGCGGCGACCACAGCGGCGTGCCAAGCTGTATGGCTGCGCCGGCTGCTGGGCGAGCTGATCGGTTTGGAAGCTCACCCACCAGCACTGATGGTGGACAACCAGCCTGTTATCGCCCTCGCGAGGAATCCGGTTCTCCATGACCGGAGCAAGCACATCGACGTCAAGTTCCACTTCCTCAGGGACTGTTGATGGAGGGCAGATC